GCTCACCTGTGTGTCTAAGCAATTTCAGAACTATGAAAAGGGATACCGTAATCATAGTCATAATTGTTTAGACCGTTGCCATTTCTCACAAGTCCATGTTAGTGTGCCGGCGAACCACACACGCTCCACTAACGACTTTTGAAAATGCAAATAACACAATTGATATCTACGTAAAATCTACTTAATGAAAGCATTTCCTCACCATCATTTTCATGAATCGGAGAGAAACTTTATGACACTTAGATTTTATAGTGTATGAGTTCCTATCCATGTGAATTTGTCAAAACCATAATCACAAGATAAGGTTAGTGACAAATTCAGCCTTACATGGATTAAACTTGTTCAATCTTAGTTTCTTGTCACCTTGGTAGCACAAGGCCCACCAATGCTTCCAAGTTGAACTCTGATAACTCACATGCAAATTCAACTTATTTGAAATAGGTACAGAAATAAGAATTATGTCAACACGATAGGTTGCAAACCTTAAGTCGTATGCTAGTGATAAATTACAGGTTTTACTCTTGATTACATCTTGAAACTCTTTCAGGATCTTTAAGGCTCCCACTGTCCCCTTGACATATAAGTTTCCTTAGTCAAGGACCATTCCTTGACAAAACAAATATTCAAGGGATAGTGCGGATTCTTATCAAGACTAACACTTCACACAATTGGTCTTAGTTGGTCTTTGTCTCATCCAAGACATCACAACTTACCAATCTGAAATGTACAAGAGTAGAAACATTTTACACTACATTTGATAAGTGTTTTAAACCTTACTTTATGTCACTCAATGGTTACAATCTTGAAGTATGTCTCTAAGAATTGTTTTGGAACGAAGTATGACTCATCTTCTTGATTTTAACCAATCCAACAATTCATGACCTCTCTTCTTAGCCATAACAATGCACTAAGACGTCCTTAGAGTATGAATTTGTGATATGGTTTCATACTCATTAAGATGATCATGAAATATGATACTAAAGTACTCTCCCATCCTTTCAGATTTGAGAAACTTTTATCTTTCTGCCTAATTTGATTCTACTCATTTGTTTTGTCATACATTGTAACCTTTCCAATGTTACAGAATTATAATTAACCTCATAAGTATAATCATATTTACTAATCTTTAGTAAATCATGACAAATCAATCTTTGTGGTGGACCTTGACCAACGCACACCCAGTGTACCTAATTCCTTAGTCCTTCAATTAACTCACATATACATGTGATCAAAGAATTAGTCTTAATTTTCAAAGATGAAAATTCTCATTCATCATACAATACAACTTGTATGATTCCAAGTTTCTATCCAATTGAAACTTGGGTGATGAAAAACTTTCTTCATTTGGTAAATTCAGACACTACCACAAATGAAAGAATCGAATCCACTTTCCAATATTGCTATTACTGGAAACATATAAGCAACAATTTTCCAAAGATGCCATTGTAAGGATATTTTTAAAATAAATAAAATTAAAACCCTTTTTTTCTAAACTTTGCGGAAAAACTTATCCTTACAATCCACATGAAAACCATGTTGTTATCTATTCATAAGCAATATATTATAACTTGTAAGCAACAACTCAAAATTCTGATAACCGAACCATACGATCGAAACCAACCTTCGCAATCAGAATCAACATATACTTACTTTAAGCTTCCTATCTTTTCTTTGATTCTTAAAACATCAACATGTGACCCATTCACATTATGTAATAAGAATCTCCAAATAGGAACTTAATAGAGTTAGACAGTGGACTTTACCCGAAGTAGAGTCAAACTTTTTGACTTGATCAATCTTATGATCTTTCAGGTAAATATGGCAGCTTCGCAATCAGTGTCCCTCCCTTTGGCAATAAAACATATAGACCCTTTGGTAATGGCACATGAGACTATCTCAGACTTAGCCTTTCACTTTACCATTTGGTCAACCGAGTTGACTATGGCCGATCCCTTTCCATTGGGAAGAGAAATGCTTTTCTAGATATCCAATGCTACCATTGCCAATGTCCATTTAAGGTTTGGGAAGTTGTTCTTTTAATCAAATTTGCTTTACTGGTGTTCCAAATCATTGCTGATTCCACAACACCAAGCAAATAGGTAACATTATTAAGGGTTATGTCATGGTCTGCCTCATAGTAGTCCCAAAGGGACTCACTATGTTACCAAGAAAGTGATTGAACATCCAACTTTCACAAGACTTTGACACCCAACTCTCCCGGCTTGTCAATATGTGACTTTATCTCCAAGATGTGAGCACACATAGACTATGCTTGCCAATAGGGATTGAGTGACTTTAAAATTTTCAAGAACTTGTGGGTGAGGGTGAATAATTGGAGGAGGTGGAGGAAGTGAAGCATGGGACACCATCTTCAAGAGATTTGGGTAGGTCATAGTTGCCTGAACCAGACATCTATAATGGGAGATAATCAAGTTAGTTGATTCAAAATCCTTAATATAACACCCAATATGAAATATTAAGGCTAGGACCCAACACAATATTTTATAACTTGGAAGAGGAATGCCGTAATCCAAGCTATAAAATATTTGAAGGTAGGCGAATGACGATTCACCAATTTCCACCATGAAAAACAAAATAATTTATTAGGTTTTAATTGGATTTGAAATTCCTAGATCTTTTGAGATTTATTGAACTTTTCAATGGCATGTTTCAATCTCGAGTGTGCCCTCTCAAATTTTGTGATTGGGATGCCGAGGATCACAAAACAAGGTGTGAATAACCATACCAATTTACTTGGTACCCTTAATATTATCACCTAATCAATGTGTCGGTTAACCACACACGCTCCATTGATCTAAGACAAACATTAAGTCACCCTTCGTGATCCTTACTAGTCCAAGTTAGTGTGCCGGTTAACCACACACGCTCCACCAACGACTTGGTAAGGTACAAAGTGTGAATTCCATAGGCTAGCACCAAATTCACATTTTTCCTAAAGTAACTAAGATTGGGAATTAAATAAAAAATAGTTAGTTACTTTATAATATTCATTATACTTTTAATGAGAATTTAAAGTCATTGTCCTACCCGTTCGGCTAACGACCCTCCACCGATCAAGCAAGCGGTGGGTGAGAGTGGACACCCATTAAGTTGCCATTTTATAGGCAACAACCTTATACCCACCTTATAGACCGGCTTCGTGAATGAGGCCTACTAACGGTAAAACGACTTGTTCTTATACATATATATAATAATTAACCATTAATCTTATAATAGTATAAGGGTAGAATTTTAACTTTTAAAACTTCTAGGGTATGGAATTAAAGTTTGTGTGAGACTTTACAAATTCCAAAACTTGAGGGCAACTTTTGAACAATTCATAAACTTTTGGATATTCATAACTTATGAGTTTTAATTAAGTGTTTTAATACTTTTAATGAAGAGTCTCTTGGAAATTCATAACTTGAGGACAAGTGATGGAGTCCATAAAAACATTTATTAGAAAAACTCTTCAAAAGTGTAACTTATGACTTCTTAAAAAAAACATTTAAAAGAAAAAACTTTTGGAATTCCATAACTTGAGGACAAATCATGAATTCCATTAAAACACATTAAGATCAAGAATTAACTAACAAACAATTTGCAAATAATTCCTATGATCTAACAAAACTCATATGAACATGAACATCCACATCAACAATTTCAAGAATCATATGAACACATATAAACTTGAAATTTTGATTATTACTTTGAAATTGGTCCACCATCATCATTACCAATACAAAAACAGGTTTTATGAGTCCAAAACAGTTTAAGGTAATGATTCTAGACCAATTCCAGCACCAAAACTCGAAGATATGCTGTCTGGCACTACTAGAAAAACAGCCTTTTACGACGCTCATTGCGCGTCGTAAAAGGCTCAGACGACGCACAAATGCGCGTCAAGGAAGGCCTTGTCATAAAGAGAGACGACGCGCATTTACGACGCTCATTTACGACGCGCAATTACGACGCGTGTTTACGACACACAATGCGTATCAAGGAAGGCCCTATCATAAAGGAAGACGACACGCATTCGCGTGTCGTAACCTTACGACGCGCGTGTTAATGACACGCAATGCGTATCAAGAAAGTCCCTGTCAAGAAAGGCCATGTCATAAATGAAGATGACACACATTTTTGCGTATCTTAAATTTAAATGTTTAAAAAAAATTATATATTTATTAATTTTTAAATTAAATTTGCATTTAATTTCTTATAATAGAAATAAAATACAATATACGAAAAATACAATCCATTGCATAATATAAAATAAAATTTCATACTCAAAAAATAAAATAAATTGCACAAATTATAATGTCATACAAAGAATCATTCAAATGTTAAACAAAAATAATACATTGCTAACATGTGTTATACATTCCTATAAAACTAACAAATAATCATACAACTCTATTTCTTACTGGAAAGGAATGCCAAACATGATTACAAGTCTCCCTTAATCTTGATTACTCACCTGCTTAAGTAGAATGTTGTTGTTGAAAAGGTTACCTAGCAACATAGGGGCAAAAACATCTTTTTGACTCTCATTTACCCAGGGGTAAGCCCAGCAGCAGCTAAATTAAGGTTTGGATTTGGTTGACTGGGGCACCACCACGATATCCACCACCACCACCACGTCCACGGTTCCATTACCAAAGACTACCTAGAAAAGATTCCAGAAAAAATAATAATGAAGAAACTATAGGAAGACTGAAGATAATATTATTGAAAGTGATTATGTAAAGTGTGAACAAAGGGAAAGAAGATTCTCTGTTGTAACTTGTTTCTTGGAGGAGATTCTCTGTTGCTAACTTGTCTCTTTTTAGACTCTCCACCTTGTTCTCTTAAACCAAAATGAAGACTTCAATGAGGATTCACACAACATCCATTGATAGCAACAAATCAGGAAGCACAATGGTTCAATCCCATTCAAGTTTCTTTGGACCTATCAGCAAGATAAGAATACAAAATTCTTGTCATGATGGAAAGATTAAAAGCTAGTAAGATTTAAATCTTTGCATAATGGAAGAAAATGATGGGGGAAGAGCAGGAGCAGGAGAAGGAGCCACAGACAATACTAGCCGAAATAGGTTGATCATATGTTTGATGATCCTTTCTGTTTCACCTACAATAAAAAAAAAAAAAAAACAATTTATAGACCCACATTTCACTTTGTTTCTCATAAAGTGGTAAAAAAATTTAAAAGAAAAAAGATATCGGGAATGGAAATAAGAATTGGACTTCCAACCATTGATCTAAGCCACATGATTTTACTCTTACCCTCTTTTCCTCCACTATAATTACAACGAACTGCATATAAGTTTGTATGGAAAGCTTTCCCTTCAATTTCTAGCTTCTCTATTTTAGGAATTCCTGAAAAAAATCCAAGAAACCTGTTTATATATTAATTGAAATTACAAAGTAACACAAATGACAGATAAGAAGAGAAAGAAGGTCAAGTCTAGAAGACAAGACTAGGGGAAACAGGGCAGTTTCAGATATGCCGGTTCACTCGATCTTCCAAATGTATTTGTTACAATGAATTCACATCTGAAGAAATTACCAATGTTATCAAATCACAGCTTATATGGGAAAGAACATTATGATTGTAATGGCTTAAAGGATTTGTTCTCTTCTGAACAAATGTACCTATCTTTTTTATTTTTTAATACGGTATGATAAAATAAGTATTTAATATTTGAAAATACGAAACAAAGTAAGTTTTATAATGTAGAAGGATTAAAATCCTTACCAGTAACCACAAGCATCTCAATTCTTGTAATCTTAATCAAATCATTAATACGCATATTGAAAAGTGTATAAATCAAAAGTTGAAAGTATGGAGAACTAGAAATACAAAGAGTATGATTCTTGAATACTCACTCGGGGCTTGCGAATCTCATTACATGTTCCATTATTAAGCATGTTAAAAGCTCTCGTGTAATGTATTGAACTAAAGGGCATTGAGCTTCTTGTGGTCTAAGAACTGCAGCCAAAAGTACGCCCATAATCTGCTTAACAAACCACAAGATAAGAACCATTAATGAAAGTATTCACAAAACATCATCAATGAAGATTGTGATAATCTTCATCAGAACTCTCATCTTACACCTTATATTCACTTTGGGCAGATATTAAGGATGGATGAAGCTCCTTTGAAGCCATGAGATGGTGTATCAATCTTTCATCTCTTTCTTTAGAAAATAATTTTAACATGACCTCCCTCCCAAGAACTCCGTCAGCCCAAGCGCCCAACCCACTCCAGTAAATTTGCTGGAATGCATATCCAACACGTTGCAATACCAAAAATAAAAAATAAAAAAATTATGTTAGCAAAATAAGCATATCAAATAATATAAAAAAATTAATTTTATTCTTATGTTATATCAAGAGGAAATATATTAGGAGCCATTCGCATGGCAAGTTTATACGGTAGAATTGAAACTTCAATGTAAAACCAGATAAACATAAAAGCAAAAAAAAAAAGGAACAGTTTTGTTGTAAACTTAATTTCTATCTTTTTTTTTACATAATGAATCATCTGAAATTGAGAGAGAAACAACAAAGCTAAAACATTCATATTTTTTTATAAAATCAAACATTCATATAAATTGAGTTCATTCTTCTAAATTCTAACCCTTTCTAACATTATAATAGATCAACTCAAGAAGGGCCATCTTTCTCAATCCCAAAAGGTGCCTCTAAATGCCAAATCATTGATAAGGACTTTTCACAAACACTTAGCGTGCAAATTTAAAGGCCACATTTTGAAGCTGATCCATGAAACTAAAAATAGACATACATGTGTGGATTGTTAATGCTTCTGATGTTGAAACAGCTAGTTCCACTGCATCTATGATGTCAACTCTATGAGATTTGGGGTTTATCCCATTTTACCCTTTTAAAATTCCAAAATTGCCCCTTTCAAAATTAAAGTTAACCCAGCAGCCATGGCACGAATCAAACTCAGCAACAACGTTTTCAAAAGGAAAAAAATATATTTTGATCAACCGCAAACCAAACAAGAAGATTCCAGTATTGCCCTTTGTATATGACATAACAATGAACCCAATATTCTTGACTAGGATCAAAATCAGCAGTATGAAGAACAAGAAACCCTTCCATAAATTTGTCAATCATGGACCAATAACAAAAAAAACGTTTTGATCAAGCAGCCCCTGCTTCTCAAACCAAGGAGATTAGAAGAAAAAAATATCAAAGAAGAGGCTACTGCGATAAAAAGGAACAGGGGTGCACCCATTTTTTTCCCAGTAATACCAAATTCTATCAAAATTAACAAGCTGACCAAAATGCCCCTTAATAAGTAACCACTATTTTCGAAAGCAATACAATCCAGAATAGATGAGCAAAAATAAAATTGAAAGAGTGTTGTAACCCACTGACCTCAAAAGAACCCAGTCAGCCATAAGAAAAAACTTATAATCTTCCATTTACCAAAAATGCCCATGACCGGTATACACTTACGCCTTCAACCACCAACCAAGGACACCAAACAGACCAGGAGCTGATGGTACTGTGTGTGTGTGAGAGAGAGAGAGAGAGAGAGAGAGAGAGAGAGAAAGAAAGAAAGAGATGGTATCGTGTGCTTGAGATATGTGGCGGCTCTTCTGAATTTTCGACGGATTTGTAAGGGGGGTCAAGGGAAATCAAATTCAGGAATCAAGAACTTGGATTCCATAAATACGAAATCCTAATTGGAAATCAGGCATTCGTTTTTCAACAAGTATTAGACTTTCAGTCAATCCCACGTTTGAGTAATAGATTTTTAGCAAATCCCAGGCTTTTAGCGATTGAGCGAGTCTCAGTTTGGTTTCGGTGATAGGCTGCTGGCGACTGATATTTAGAAATCTCAATCTAAAATTAAAATCAGATGGAAGAAATCAGAAATCAGAAATCATAAAATCAGCTGGGAAGAAATCTATGAAAAGAGTTGAAGTGGAAGGTGCGTTATGAGTGTCGATTCGCTTAGGTGGCGAAGTAGCAGCAATGGTGAAAGTTAAAACCCTAAGTCGTCAGTTAATAGAGAACAACATTACATGCTTCCTTCTGCGGACATTTACCCCAATTTCCTCTTTCGTCTCTCACTCTAGAAACCCTAATCCCTCCGGCACAATGAACACCATTACAGTTTCCACGGCGCCTTGAAAGCCCTAACCTGAATCTCTCGATCAGAAGCGTATCTAGAAGGAAGCAGGTCAAGGAATAGTGCAAGAAAACTATTGGCGAGTATTCTCAATAACAGCAGAGAGATGAAGAAGGTGAAATTACAGCAACGATGAAGTTGATGAATGGAAATCAGAAGCCCTTTTTCTTGATTGAGATGATGAAGTCGAGAGATGGAGATGAAATCGTAACCTTCGATCTTTGATTGAGAAGTTGCACAACAGTGTGAGGAGAATGAAAGATGCGTGAAAATGCTTAGGGCAGGGAGGGTAGCGGGCTTTTCTAATTTTTTGGCTTTTCTTTTCCCGCTTGTAACTAAGGAACGCGCGTTCATTAAAATTATAAAGCGACACATATAGAGGGCGCGCATTTAAGGTACAGCGCCCTCCGTGTTTTTAATTTTTTTTCTTTTGACACTAATTTAAAGGCACGCAATAATGCGTGGCCTAAATCCTTAAATTTTCTGAAGAGATGACACTTTTTTAATGTCACTCTCGTTTGCGTAACATAAATTAATGAGTGTCGTAATTTGCGCGTCGTAAAAGGCCTTTTTTCTAGTAGTGTGGGGGTCCAATTCGTCGAGTGCATGAACCAACTCGCCGAGTTGGATGAATTTTGTCTTGAGCTCGTCGAGTCCCTTCATGGACTCGGCGAGTCTGCTGTGCAGACAACACATAAACTTCGATTTTCAGCAATCTGCCTCAAGTATTCAAGAAAACAAGCCTAGGCTCTGATACCACTGTTGGGTTTTGAGCATTCTAACACTCCTATGGTGTGCATGCAACCCTATAAACCTTGGATCTATGTTTTCTTCTAAAATACATGCAAATAATAATTTCCAAGGTTTCTTCCTAACTAGCATAGTATAAGGATTATGAATCATAAATCTACTAGTAGAAATACATACCTTTTGATGGTGGTTGATTGCTTGGAGTTTTAGAGCCAAGCACCAATAGTGTGAATGCCTCAAATGGAATCACAAATCACCACAAACGTTTGGAAAACTTTGAGAGAGTACTATACTTTCTTGTGGAATCGGCCACCACTAAGTCTCACACAACTAGTGTCATTTCTTGCATCATATGCTTCTTTATATAATGTGCATGGTTAGGGTGAAACCCTAATAACCCATGTCTTTTCCTTTCCAAGGATCCATGGGTTAAAAGCTCCATGGATCATCCATGGACTTCCATATTAGCTTAGCCCATTAACAAATGAGTATTAGCCCATACTATATAAAATATAATAGCCTATAATTTAATCAGTCTTCTTTTTAATCTCTAAATTAATTCATAATTAATTTAAGACTAAAACTAATTAAATAACATGACTTCATATTAATATATTATAACTTATAATATATTAATAAATCGTAAGTATATAATTCTCATCAAATTATCCATAAATCGTTTGGGTGAAGTGCAACTCAAATGGACCATGCCGGGTCGGGTCAAGTATGTACCAAATAAGTTATGGACTTAGACACCTTATCCAACATTAACTAGAAGGGTTTGGGGTTTCACGACCTGACTTGCCAAATCCAAGAACAGTCTCCCCGAGTCCACGAAAATCTTCAACATACTCGTCGAGTTGTTCATCCAACTCTTCGAGTTCATCTCCATTTTCATACTACTCGTCGAGTCCAGTAAAGGGACTCACCGAGTCTATTCAGTCCTTCATACATTCAGAGGCTTTTTGAGTCATGCAGGGTCTCCAAACCGTAGATCCACTATTCTAAAGCCTATTCCTCACGTAAAGTTGCAAACTTTACGTGTAACTAAGGAGATCTAGACTCAAAACACTCAAGGCTAGGGTTTGAGACAAACATGCTTCACCAACACACCAAGGACTGATACTTTATGGGTTTCTGGGCCAAGACATTCCTAGATCTGAAGTCCTTTTTGCTCACAAAGGCACAATACTCGAAATAGCCTTGGAAGTGATCCAAAAATGATAAAATCTAACTAGGAAAGGGGATCTAAATGAATAACAGCCAAGGTATGAGCTTCATACCTTCAAATGATCTGAAAAATCACACCAATGCTGGATTCAAGTCTCCCTCTTGCACCACTATGTGTCTCCTTCTCTTCCAAGCTTCAAATCACTTCACCAAGGCTAGATCTTGCTTAAAAACGGATATGGTGGCTAGGGTTTGGTGTTCTAGGTGAGAGAGGCTGTAAACCAACCCTAGCGAAGAGAAGGAGACGTTTAAATAGGGCACTAAGTCCCGGATTTAGGGTTTTTCTCTTCAGACCAGACTCGTCGAGTTTTCTCACCGACTTGCCGAGTTGGTCACTTAATCCATGACCCGGAACCCGCTCCGACTCGACGAGTTGACTCCTTTGACTTAGGGTTTTCCTTTCCTTTCTTGACCTTTCTGATTTTGGAGGTTACAACTCTCCCCCACTAAAACTAAACTCCATCCTCGAAGTTCACTATGGCCAATTGTGCTGCAATCCGCCTCCAACACCCTGCCTGATGACTGTGACCTTCTGCCCAGTCATTCTGCATCATCCTTGCAGTTAAAATCCACGAGTACATCTAATCCTTAACCTTACTGAGAACACCTCCTGCTCAACTGGAAATCCTTTCAGTACTCCCCGAGTACTTGGGCTAAACATTCTTGGGGTTTACTCCCTTTTCCACGTACGTTCTCCGACCTTCCCAACAGTGCCTCCTATAGCTATCCACCTCCTTTGTCACTGTGAGGAACGTACCCTTCACGATGTCCATCACTCCAGCCACTCTCGGTGCTGGTCACTACTGCTGGTACATACTGAATGCTTCTTATTTCCATAACTTAGTGCTGAGCACCCGTCCCAGCGAATGGATCAGATAATCCTTCGAGTAAAAGGTTCATCCCTGCAATGGTTAAGACTCATACGAGAGATGTACAACAAGGTCAAACCCTCCCCTCTGAGATTTTCCATCTCTGCTGTGAGAGGCGTAGCACCCTCGGTCAACCTGTTGCCTCTTACCATACTTCCCTTATTGTTACTACCACTGACTGAAAATTTTGTTGCCCCTCATCCGCCTACCTGATGAACTGAGACCACCCTGGTCCAACTAATCTGCCAATATTTGGAATACCAGACTCCTACCGGTCACTACACCCCATCGCAATCTTCTAGTCACTCATAGCGATTTCTGAAGATACTTCGACTATTTATAACTGTTCTATCTACTCTGCCACTCATACTAAATCGAAGCTGCTGAAACCAGCCTGCTTATCTCTCATCTGACTACTCAACTTCCAATAACTCGAGTTTTCCATCCTAAAAGAAAGTTTACATGCCTAATTATCCTTGCAGATCACTTATTCTTGGCAAAAGGCTCAACTGATCCTGCTGAGAGAGACTTTCCATTTCCCAATCAACTAACTATTCCGCCTGCACTTGCAACCCGACACAAAACTGATACTGACCATAACACTGAAACTATCTGAAACACTAAACTGCCTAGAACACTAAACTGCCTGAAACACTGAACTGCCTGAAACACTGAACTGCGTGAAACACTGAACTTCCTGAAGCACTGAACTACTATATGGCTGCTTCCCAGAACATATCGACACCTTCCTGATCTCCATTCATACGTTGGTTATCTGCAACACCAAGTTCTTACTCAACTGTGGAGCCCGAGGACTCCTTACGTAGTCGCTCCCATGACTTCTGAACGAAATCTTTATCTGGAACTAGTTTCCAATAGTCATCCTGTCACTGTGACCCTAACAACCTCCCGATCCAATTGATCGGGTCCATACGTCGAATCCTGACATCATCAAATACAAGACTAAAAGTGATGGTTCCAAAACCAACGGTAGCCCTTAACATACACGAGCCCAAGCGGTCCACAGCTCCCTGATCTCTTAACTGTGGTGACGATCCATATGTTGAATCGCTAGCTCATCCATAACTAAACCATTTAGGTGATTCCGAAATCCAATATGTGGATTTCCTTATCCTTACTTCTACACCCAAACTGGTGGGTATACTTCTTGACTAACAACATGACCCAGAAAGTTCACACTACGGAGCCAGAACTCACACTTAGAGAGTTCTGCGTACAGCTTCTCGGTTCGCAGGGTTTCCAGGATTTATCGGAGATGTTGGCCATGCTCCTCTTCGCTTCGAGAGTAAACTAAAATGTCATCAATGAAAACAGTTACAAAGTTGTCGAGGAATGGTCGGCAGATTCGATTCATTAGGTCCATGAATGTGGCAGGGGCATTCGTCAGACCGAAGGGCATTACGACAAATTCATAATTTCCATAACACGTTCGGAAAGCGGTTTTGGGAATATCCTCTTCCCGGACCTTGAGTTGATGGTATCTGGATCACAGGTCTATCTTAGAGAAATAGCTTGCGCCTTGAAGTTGGTCAAATAGATCATCGATTCGCGGGAGTGGATAGCAATTTTTGATAGTGAGCTTATTTAGTTCCCTGTAGTCAATGCACATTCTAAAGGATCAGTCCTTTTTCTTAACAAAGAGAACTGGAGCTCCCCAAGGTGAGAAGCTGGGTCGGATGAATCCTTTGTTCAGAAGTTCGCTGAGTTGGCTGGACAGCTCTTGCATCTCCGCAAGAGCCAATCTGTAGGGCGGTTTGGCGATGGGAGTAGCTCCTGGCACAAGTTCAATTCGAAACTCGACTTGTCTTTCTGGGGGTATCCCCATAAGATCTTCAGGAAAGACATCCGGGAACTCACAAGCTACTGGAATGTCTCGAATATTGACCTCTTCCTTGGACTTATCCACTATATGAGCAAGAAACATCAAGTCTTTCTTTCGCAGATACTTCTGTGCCTTGACACACGAGATAAGATGAAGGTTCGTGTTGGGTTTGTCTCCGTATATAATTAGGGTTTCACGATTTGGAAGGTGAAGGCGAACGACCTTCTCGTGAAACATAATTTCAGCATGGTAGGGGCTTAACCAATCCATGCCAACAATCACATCAAAACTCCTAATGGAAACAAGCATTAAGTTTATTTGAAAGACGTGTTGGTTCAAGGTTAGGGTACATCCGATATAGATTTTCCCAATGGATTCTGTTTTGCCATTGGCCATTTCCACTGTAAAGGTTTCATTAAGCTGTTGGGGTTGTGTTTTAACAAGTGTTTAAATCTATTGCTCACGAAACTTCGTTCTGCTCCGGTATCAAATAGGATGCATGCATAAGTGTGGTTTAGGAGAAACGTACCGGTGACAACAGCGGGATCCTGAACCGCTTCTCCCTGACCCATGGTCAGCACTCTTCCTGTTCCTCCAATCCCATGGTTGTTGTTTTTGGGGCAGTTTCGCCAGAAATGCCCAGTCTTTCCACATCCATAGCA